TTAATAGAAAATTATGAGCTGTAATCAATATAATGAGATGTCAAATAGCGAAAAAGATAGATTATGTGATGGTCTTAATTTTCAATTAACATTGGACAGATTTAATCAACAACGAAGTAGATCAACAACTTTAAAAAGAATAGCAACAAGTGAAGGGCAAAGATTTGGTGAAAATTCCGATGATGAATATATTAATGGTCAATGGCAGGTTCCAAATTCTAAGAAATATAGACGTACTCACAAATATAATGATAAAGATGATCGTCAGCAACATCAAATAACAGGTGTAAGAACTTTTATTAATTCCAATTAGAATAATAATAATCAGAGACGACAACAATTATCATCAAATACAGATAAAAATGATAGGAATATTTCGAATGGGAATTCATTACAAATATCTAAACATGCATTAAACTATGCCAGTGAATATCATTATGCACCTTTTAAATTAGAATGTCATCCAAAGCTAATTGATAAAAAACAAGGTCAAAAATTAATCATGAACTTGATTAAATCGATTAAATCTGACTTTATTACACAAAATCCTAAGTTTAATAAAATAATTTTATTTGATCTTTGGTGGATTGATTCCAATGGTGATTTACAAATCATCATCAAAACAACTGAATTATATGTTTATTTATTCAAAACAGAAAGATATCCGAAAGAATTGAATGGCATCAAAATCATTCCTCATCATCCTTCTCATCTTCCTCCACAACACACTGTTATAATAAAATGGGTACATCATTCGATTTCAAATGATGATATTAAAGAAGTATTAAATTCAAAATATGAAAGTATATTTTCAATTGGGGAAATGATTGGATCCATTAATGATAAAACTCGTCATGTAAAAATTGAATTATTGAGTAAAAATGAATATAATAGTTTATTAAATGGTGGTAAAATTAGTTTGTTTGGTCATCTTTTTGATGTTGATGAATTTCTTCCAGCACCAAAAGTATTAATCTGTGGTCGTTGTAATCAACCAGGTCACACGAAAAAAAACTTGTTGTAATTCGAGTTATGATCTTTGTCGTCGTTGTGGTGGTGATAGAACAAATTCTGAACAACATAAAGATTGTCAAATAAAGTGCCACCATTGTGGTGGAGAGCATGTCTCCACCGATTATAAGTGTAAATTGATAGATAATTATCGTCGACAATTAATCGATGAATTAAAAAAACACCCTGAAAGATTGCCACCTGATACACATTTGTTTATACCTTCTGAATATCGTAGTCAAAATGATAAATCAAAATCAATATATAATCATGAAGTTTATGAATACCAGCAATACCATCGTTCATCTCAATTTCAAAGTAGAACATACTACAATCCCTGGCCAGAAATTAATTGTACCACATCAACAACAACTAGCAATATTATGAATATGAGTGGAACGATTAAAAGTTTGTCTGAAGAACTTAAACAAGTACAACAGCGACATGAAAATGAACAAAAACGTATTGAACAAAAATTTAAAACTAGCTTGATGATGATGAATCAAGCATTTATTATAATGCAACAAATACAACAAACACAACAAACAATGATTCGTACAATGAATGTTGCAGTTAGTCAAAACATGTTCTCTACATGTATGAAATTAACTGAACATGTGCATTCAATTGTTATGAAATTAAAACCTCAAGTAAATAATAATGAATTTGATGAAATAATACAACAAATCAACGATCATGGTCAATTCCTTACTGAAGCTCATAATGAATATTGTCAACATCAAGATGAATTAAAAAATATTTCAACTAAACAAATGCAAGCATTAACCCAAGCATTTGATGTTGTATTTAAAAATGATGATAATTAGTGATTTTAAATATTGTGAACCGTTTATCAAATATGATCTTATTGAACAATTCGATGGTGGAGCTAGTGAGAAAGACACTCGTTTTTCCATATTTTCTGAATGGAATCGTAAAAGTTCTTTGAGTGAGTTGTGTGTGAGTTGGTGCAAAACAAGACCCCCTGTCTCATTGGAAAATTGATGTATTTTGCTCTGGAATTGTGAATGCTTAAGTACTCATGTCTGATTTTGAACTTCTTCTTTCGTCTTATTGCCCTCATATCTTTATTCTTACTGGTGTAGGAAAACAAATACGTACATTGATACCTGTTCCTAATTACAAATGGTTCTGTCAAGAAGGTAGTAACAGTTATGGCGGTGTCGCTATACTTGTTCATCAAAAACTACAATGCTCTATTGAGGATAAGGCTGAAAATTTTATTCTTCTTAGAATTACACTTTTAAATGAGAAAATTTACATTGGTGGAGTCTATTCACCACCTAATTGTAATCCACTTCTTGAGATTTTTGATATGCATAAAGATAAGAAAATGTATTTATTTGGAGATTTTAATGCGAAGCATTCTCAATGGAATTGTGAAAACAGTAACGTTAGTGGTAATAAATTAATTGAGTGGTTAAATGGAAATGGTTTCGAGGTAATCCACTCGATCGTGGAAACATCTAAAAGATCAAAATCAGTTATTGATTTTTGTATAGGTAGAAATAAGGACAATTGGCACGTTGAAAGGTTAGAAGAGGGAACATCCGACTATTATCCTATAATGTTTTTTTCCCCATTTACAGCAGGAGAAAATGGAATGTTTCGTAAAACGAATTGGCGAATGTTTGCATTCTTTTTAAAAGTAGTTTATCCATACTGGAATGCTTTCGTTTATAACGTAGATTACAACTTCTTTTTTGATATTTTTTCGCAATTTCTATATATAGCTGCATTATGTGATAGATGTAGTGAGTACGTAAATATAAAAAAATTTCGTCCACCATGGCCACCTCACCTTGTGGAACTGGTTAGATTAGTAAATAAATTAAAACGTAAATTTAGAAGGACACGATTTCTTGGTGATTATCAAAATTTTAAATATTTTGAAAATGTTTATATTCAAGAGAAAATTAAGTACGAGCAGCAGAAACGTGAGTACAAAATGAAATATATAAAGGAGGGAAATAATATCTGGTCTCACGTAAAGAATATCTTTTGTCCATACACTCCCCCATTTAAAGGACTAACTACAGAAAATGGAGTTATAAGGGATAATCAACAAATAGTAGATCAGTTAGCTAATTATTTTGAAAAACATTTTTCTGAACCTGTTCATGATAGTAACAACATATATCACCAAGAATGTTTGAAATCATATGAAAGAATAAAAAATATTGATAATATTCCATTAGAAAAAATAAAAATTGAAGAAGTAATTGTACAATGGAAAAAATTTGCGGCTAAGAAATCTCTTGATAGTATGAATACTTCTGCCTTTATGCTTAAACAGTTACCCTCCGAGTATTTAAGTACGATTACAATTTTATTTAATAATTGTGCAGAAACCGGTGAGGTTTTTGAGTCAGGGAAAATTGCAAATGGTATTTTTCTTTCAAAGGATGGAGCTAATCCATCTGAAAATCGACTCCGTTCCATATCATTGCTACCTAACTTAGCTAAAGTATACGAACGCATAATCGTAGAGAGAATAGAGAAATGGTGTAATAATCAAGGTGTTCACCTTGATGAACAATCTGGTTTCTCAGCTAAAAAACGACTACAAACTAGAATAATATCGATAATCGAGGATTTAAGACTAACAGTTGCAGCTTGTAATCGCCCTGCTCTTGCTATATTTGTAGATTTCGCCACCGCTTTCGATCGGTTATAGTGGCCCGCATTATTTAAAACACTAGAAAAGTTAGAAATGCCTTTGGAGATGAGAAGGTGGATTTTTAACTGGCTTCAAGGTCGGAAAATGAGTGCAAGTCATGGGAATGCCAAATCCAGATTATTTTCTATTTCAGTAGGTGCTCCTCAAGGAAGTGTGTTAGCTGCTCTGTTATTTAGACTTCATATACATAAATTACCTTCTTATTTTTTACAAACAGTTAGCCACCTTTTTGCCGATGATCTTACAATAATTATCAAAGGCGGTTTAGAAATGAGACTTTCTACAAATATTAAATATCTCGAAGCTCAAGCAAAAGCAGTCTTAACAGCATTAGAAGAATTCTCGGACAATCATATTTTGCCGGTTAATGTTTCTAAAACAAAGGCTATGATTGTGCATAGTGCAGTCGTCGTACAGAAACCAATTATTAAATATAAAGATATAAATATTGAATACGTAACCTTTTTCAAATGTTTAGGTGTTGAAATAGGTACTAAATTAGGTATGGGTAAAAACATTGAAACTAGATTAAAGAAAATAAGAAGTTCTTATTGTGCCTTGAGGCAAATATTTCATTCAATACCAAAAAATGAAATAAAAATTCGAAGACAATTATTCTGCGCGTTTACTCTTCCCCATTTCTCTTGGCTTTTCCCTACCTGGTTCTATTTTACCGAAAAACAGCGTGAAAAAATAGAACATGTTTTTATGACAGGTATTCGCCTTGTATACTCTCTATGGGGATATGAAGATTTTACAACATTAGCGTTAAGTCGAGAATTTTCCTTAAGAGATTATTTATATAAATATTGGTTACGTTTTCAAAAGCATTTGGATGAAGCTTCCGAAGCTATTATATATAGACAGACTTGGAATGCTTTCTTGATTGCGACGTCGCCTAACAAAGATTACTATCGAAGTTGTGGATTTCGAAAAAACAGTGTTTTTCCGAACAGACTCATGGAGCGGGCTCACCATACATATTTAGACTTTCTTACCTTTACCAATGTTCATAGTCAACAATACGAGTTTTTTAAACGTACTTCTTCTTTATTAGAAACATTTGTATTAAAATATTTTCCATTTTTTCCTCCTTAAACGTATCAGAGATGGGACCGGTTCGGTTAAAAACCGAACCGAACCGACCGACCGTAACCGAAATCGGTTCGGTTGGAGATTTTTAGAGAATTCGGTCGGTTACGTTCGGTTCGGTTAGAGACTTTTTCGGTTACGGTCGGTTCGGTTCGGTTAGAAATTTTAAAAAATTCGGTCGGTTATGTTCGGTTCGGTTAGAAAGAATCAACATAATCGTTTCATTTGAGTTCAATGGACTTTTTCAGTGAAACATAAGAAGAAAAAAGAATATAATCGTACAACAACTAGCTGTTGCTCGCAACGCGGATTATCTCACATATTTTTAAAATTTGCCCTGAGAGGTAAGGAAGTTATAATACAGTAAGAAGATCCAATAAATAATCTTTATTCTTTGCTTTCTCTAAGTGTTCATTATTTTTAGTTGCTATTATTTGATTTGTTGTTGCTAATTTATAAAGCACTAATACCCTAACTAAAATAAGCTAAACTTCGCTTTCTCTAAACTCGGTTCGATTACGAAATTTTTGAAATTCGGTCGGTTACGGTCGGTTCGCTTAGAAATTTTTAAATATTCGGTCGGTTACATTCGGTTCGGTTAGAGATTTTTTCGGTTACGGTCGGTTCGGTTTGGCAAAAATGCCAACCGATCCCACCTCTGAAACGTATACGTTTTAAATTATCGTAAAAGAAAATAAATTGCAAATTGAAAGATGTAAAATGTGCGACTATTTCCGGTACTGTGTGACATCTGTTTCTAATTTTATTTTTCTCTCTCGTTTGTATGTGCCACTATCTGTCTTTGATCTCTTTGACTTCTATGTAAAGATAAAAAGTATTGTAAATTCTACCAACTGTATTGTGAGAAAAAAAGTGATAACCTCTGTTAACATACACTTCTGATATATATATTTTTTTTTTTTTCTTTATCATTATATTCTTAGAGGTTTATAAAACTATGCGATTTTTCTCTGTTAACCCTAGTGGAACAATAAATTATATATAAAAAAAAATGTGTGTTAATATATAATAATGTGTATTAATATATAAAAATGTGTAATAATGCATAATAATTTATAATGATGTCGAGCAATGTTATAGAATAGTATATAATGTGTGTTGATGGACGAGTCGAATATTGAAAATAGTGATATAATGTGGGAATAACGTACGGTAATGTGATTGTGATGGAGAAAAAAAATTTTTTCTTTTTATAGGAGTTCTTTTAGTTAGGGTTGGAGTGGTAATGCTATTGATTTCTTGCTAGGTCGTTTTTTTACTAATATGTGCTTTAAACTATCCGTGAGTCTGTTTGCATAAATAACCGGTATATCCTCTATTGGAGTACCTTCGAATACTTCTTGCCATATCTGATGAAAGTGCGAGCCGAAGTTTGCTAGGGATGGAGTGTAACTAAAGTGGAGGAATATATCTTTGCTGAAGTCCACTTTTCTCTTTTCTTTTTTATTCCATGATGGATCTAGTGTGAGTTCTCTCAGTCTCTGGTGGTTATTGCCTAAGAGTGTTCTCATTGTTGTCTCGCCTGTCAAATCGTTATAGAATCTTCCCATGTGTTTATCTATGAATCTTGGTGGATATTTATTCAACAGTAACATGATTCTAAGCTTTTCCAATTCTTGTCGGAGATTTTCTGGATGCGAACATATACGAGTTGCTCTTAATGTGGCTGCGTATGGTATATTTCTAAATATATGGAGTGGATGTGCTGAACTAAATGAAAGGACATAAGGTTGGGCAGCTAATTTACGAAAAACTGTTGTTCTGAAATTGGGAACGTTTACGGAGGTTCTTACATCTAAATAGTCAATCGTTTTTCCTGTTTCCCATGTAATACCTAAGTTTGGATCTTTTTGCTCAAATCTGTTAGAATCTCTTCCATTTTTTCTGAGGATAGTCTTGTAGTTAGGAAAATATCATCTCTAAAGCGAAAATATAATTCATTCTGTTGGCGCTGCTGTTCTACAATGGTGCTTTCCCATTTTCATACCCTATCAAAAGTTATTCGCAATACAAGAGTGTCGGGCGACTTATGGAACACCCTATATCTCCTATACCCCCTATATCTCCTATACCTCCTATATCTCCTATATCTCCTATACCTCCTATGCCTCCTATATCTCCTATACCTCCTATACCTCCTATATCTCCTATATCTTCTGTACCTATCTATCTCTATACCTCTTACCCTAGGACATAATTGAGTTTCCGGGGATATTCTCCGAAGACATCATATGATGAAAAATCAATGCTTTAATATTTTTAAAAATGGCTTGTGAATATGGATATGAGGACGTAGAAATGTGATTGAAGAGAACGCCTGAACCTATGCCGATACCCATACACATCTTTCAAAACTAATGACAATTTGAGCACCGATTAAGAAAGCTTGTTCATGGAATACGTGTTTTGATTTTTTGGTTTATTGTTGAATGCATCGTTAAAAATGAGTAGAAAAAAAACTGTTCCAAAGATGAATTTGTTAATTGATTCGACACTGTCAAGTTCGTATTCTCCTATTAGTCTTATGCTCTTATGGAGGTTTTTGAACAAGAAAATAATAATTGCATGAAGATAAGTGCAGCATTGCCATAAATTATTTAGCCTTTTTCTGTGTTAATCTCATCAGCTCTTTAGCAATCGATTCTGCTTCATACTCTCTGTCTGCTATTTTGTCTTCTTTAATAACGTCGTTTCCAGGTTTTTTTCACAAGAATGGGTACCATTGCTTTACATTCAAAACGTTGC